TCAACTAGGGGACAACATGGCAGGCCCAGGGACACCAGCGTTAGCCCTGGGCAGAGCCTGCAGCAGCCCCCTCCAGCTACCCAAAGGGCCTCAGCCTCCCAGCCCCCTCCTCAATATTAGACCCTCAGCTCCCCCCCCCAACCAATCCATCAGGCCCCAGAAGGAGGAGGGGGCGGGGAGGAGAGGGACAGGCAGGACTGTAAGAAAGCCGCAGCGGGCAGCTCCCCTGGGCCCCCTCCTATCAGTCTGAGCATCTGCACATGGGCCCAGCTCTCTCTAGACTCTAAGCCGGGAGGTGGGGTGGTCGCAGCAGGCAGAGGGAAGAGGTCAAGCCCACCTGATGACAGGGCAGCTGCCAGCAGGACAAGCCCAGCAGAGGCCTCTGGACAGAGAGCAGCCCCTGGACCCACAGAGAGGAGGGTGAGCGGGCAGAGCTCCCGGGGCCTGCGGGGTGTCCTGCAGGCTACCTCTAACCCTGTCCTGGCCAAGCACCGGCTGCAGGACAGCAGGCCCGGCTGCGTCTGGCGGGGAGGGAGGCTGGCGGGGGAGGGGGCTGAGGCGAGAGGCGCTAATAGGTTATGTCAGGCGAGAGCTCTGGGGAGGGGCCGCGCCTCGAAGCTCTGGCAGCGCCACCTGGGGCCCGAGCCCAAGAGCCGGAGCCTGGAGAGAGAGGCTGGCCGGGTTCTGAGCAGAGCGTGAGGACCCGAGAGGGGGACAGCGAGACAGGGCTCCTCAGCCCTGCTGACCTGTGGCGGGATGGTGGGAAACGCAGACCCCTCTGGAGGGCTGGAGGAGCCCATGTGGAAGAAGCTGCCCAAGATGACAAGGGACAGGGCCTGATGGGGGGCAGAGCCCCAGGGTTCACCCCTTCCTCAGGAGGGCCCTCCTGTCCCCTCATCCCAAAGTGCCAGGATCCCATCCCTAAATCAGGGAACCCTGAAAGTTGCCCCCCAAACCCCCATACTCTGTCTGGACCCAATCAACCCCACATGACCCCCAATGTCACTGCCTTCACGGGGATTGGAGGGGGTCAGGAGCTGGGGGACAGAGGGGCCTAAAATCCATCCCCCTCCCAGGCTGTGGGCTCCGGAGTCATGCAGCAGCTCAGGAGGGAGGAGGGGAGCTCAGAACAAGGGGGTCAATGAAGGGCCAGGGACGCGGGCAGACTGAGGAGGGGGCCCCTCGCAATCCTGGTGGGGCAGCCAGGGCCCTGTGTGTCTTGGCCGAGCGGGACCCCTGGGCCGCCAGGTATGTAACCATTCCAGCCATTTCCTGCCCTATTAATGAGAAAGGGGCTGATATAAATATACACTTCGCATAAATAAATAGAGGCCAGGCCCAGGGCCGCATAGCAGACAGATTGCGTGGAACTGCTGGCCAGACCTCCAGCCAGCCCCCCACCCCACCCACAGCCCCCCCACTGCCCCCCACTTGTTTTCCACTGGCGGGCCAGGGCCCCTCCACACTCACACGCCTGAGGAGGACGGACTGACTGCCCTCACTCTCGGCCTGGGCCTCAGAACCCCCTCCCTGGGGCCCCGGGGAAGGAGGCAGGCCTGGGAGACAGAGGGAGGAGGCAGGGTCCTGAGAGAGATCCCCGCGCCAGCCCCGAGCACTACCTCACACCCAGAGGCCCAGAGCTGGGACTGTGCCTGGGTGACAGGTGGGGAACAGAGACTCAGGCGTGCAGTGACTTGCCCCAGGTCACACAGCAGAGCGTGCGGGGATTCAGGATCCACACCCAAGGCCTCTGCTCTGCCGGTTGTCACAAGAGGTGGTCAAGGGCAGTTCTGGTTTTTCCTCCCCAGGATACCAGAGTCCTTAAGGGGCCCAGAGGACTTTTCAAGGCATAAGCAGCACCTCAGGAATATGGGGGTGGGGGTTCAAGGAACCTGATCTGGGCTGTTCGAGGCCCAGTCAAGGCAGCTGTGTATACAGGAGGCCTGGCCTCCCCAGCCCAGGGTACCTCCTTCCCAGAGCGTTCAAGAGCAAAGCCTGAGCCTGGCACAGTGATGCACACCTGTAATCCCAGCAGCTCAGGAGGCTGAGGCAGGAGGATTTCAAGTTCAAAGCCAGTCTTAGCAACTTAGCAAGGCCCTAAGCAACTCAGCGAGACCCTGTGTCTAAATAAAATATAAAAAGGGCTGGGATGGGGCTCAGTGGTCAAGGATCCCTGGGTTCAATCCCCAGTACCAAAAAAAAAGCAAGTCCTGGGCACTGGGGTCCCCCAAATGCTGACTTATGGGGATTGCCCTACCCACCCCACCTCGCACACACATGAATGAGACCCAGAGCAGAAAGCCTCATCCTGTGTCCCACATGGAGGCAGGGACAGAGCCACAGAATCCACGCAGCCGTTACCCCGCCCAGGCCTCCTTGGGCTGGGCCCAGCTCAGAAAGGGCTCTCTCCCTCCACAAGGCTGTCCTGGCTCGGGGGGCCCTGGCTCCCCACATTGAGTGGGCTGTGACCTAGAACCCAGCCTGGCACCCTGTCATGGGGCACAGGTCAGCAACAGTGGCCAAGAACCCTGGGTCCAGCGTGGCCATGAACCTGACAGCACTCCCACAGAGAGGATCAGATCTGGGCCCTACCCCAGAACATTCCTCGCCCCCAGGCCCAGTTCAAATACCCGCTCCTTCAGGAAGCCTTCCCAGGGTCCCCATCCCAGGGAACAGTTGCAGGCTTCTCTTAGCCTTGGGCAGCCCTGGATGAAGACTGTGCCCTGACTCTGCACCACTGAGGTCTTCTCTTGACAGTGTCTTGTATGTGGACCCTTAACCCTAAGCTCGGCCATACGAGCCATTCCCCTGCAGACCAGGGAACCCAGGAGCTGTGCCTTTACCAAGTTGCATGCCCACGACTACCAACTGCCCTCAACTTAGGAGCCACCTGGTGGCCAGGTAAGCAGGTGGGCACTCTCCTCTGTTCCCCACTGAGTCTGCAGGCAGGATGACATCTCGATGCCCTCCGGGCCTTGGTACAACCTGGAACCCGCTCAACTCTGTGCCTTCTGCCCAGGCTCACTCCAGCTGTGTGAGGTCAGCCCAGATCCTCACAAATGTGACCCGAGGAGCGTCGGTAGCCCCCAGAGAGTCAGAGAGGAGCTCCCCAGGGCACAGACCCCCCTCCCAGCCTGCGCCCCAGATGCTCTCCCAGTCCAGAGCTGATCTGATGGTCCCCATGCAGCCATGAGGAAAGGACTGTACACAGGATGGACTTGGACATGGGTGAGGGGCAGACTGTCGGAGGCAAACGAGCAGCAACTGGCCTAAGGACCTGGCCAGAATTCATCAGCTCGGTTTGGGCATGTCCCGTGGGACCCACCAGGTTTGCAATATGCAGAGGCTCCCGTTTGCAACAATACAGACGGCAGATGGGTTGACGCTGTTCCCACGTCTAGAACCAGAGGGCGGGAGACGCTGTCACCTTTACACTTCTATATTTGGGGTCATTTTTAGTCAAAGGAAAAAAACACCAATATCACATACACAATCCCACCTCTGGCCCCCGTCCAGGCTGGCATGAGCCTCTAGCCATTGCCAGCCCCACCTGGCCTCGTCCTCTGTCCCCCTGCTCAGACACTGGTCACCAGCCATCCTCTCCTCTCTTGGCCTTTGTGCCCCCTTCTGTCTTCCCCTCCCTCAGCCAGGCCCCCCCAGGCCAGCTGGGTGCAGCGCTTCAGTGGCCCCAGCCAGCTCCAGCGACTTGAAGGCCCCTGCCCTCAGGTTCCCTTGCCAATCGTGTGTGCTGTGGAGTCTGGTCCAGTTTCCTCTTCACCCGGACCTCTCAGGTCCCTCCCCAGCATTCTAGCAAGATGGTCAGAGGGACCCCCCTCGAAGTCTCCCCCACAGCAGACCAAGCTTGCTTCTTGGACTTGGAGGAAAGTCCTGGACCTTCCCCGACCCGGCCCAGTGGCAGACCCTGGTTGCCCTGGGAACCAGTTGGAGAAGGGGAGACAGGAGGAACTCTCTGGAAACTCCCTCCATGCACCCCGCCCTCTGGCCTGGACATGGGTGAGGGGTGATGTCTGACTGTCACAAAACCAGCCCTTCCCTTCCTCTCAGCAATACCACTTACCTCAGGGCTGGGGCTGGGATCTGGCCCCTGCAGCCTGAGCTCCCCTTGCTGCACCAGCCACCCCTGGAACAGGACCCTGTCCTCACTATCAGGTGACAAGAAGTGCAGAGATATCAGGGAAACCATCCCGCACTCCCCAGGGAGATGGACGGCCCTTCAACACACGGTGTGTGGTTGAGAGGGTGGATTTGTGGATGGATGGATGGATGGATGGACAGATGCATGGGTAGATAGATGAATTTGTAAACAGGTGAATGGGTGGGTGGATGGATGGACAGACAGACCGACAGATGGACGGATAGATTTGCAGGTAGTTGAAGGGGTTGGGTGGATGGATGGATGGGTCTGTGGTTGGATTTGCATAGACCAAGGTTGAGTAGCTATGGGGTCTGCTGCCGACTGGCCAACCAGTCCTCAAAAAGATATTGCTGCATCTCTGAAATGTGAGGCCCTGGCGCCCCCAAGAGGCCACAGTCTCTAATTGCCCATCTCCCTTAAAGCTCTGGGCACGAAGGGTTCTGAGAACCAAGGACAAAAATTAAACAAAGTTAGGGGTTCTGGGAGAAAAAAAAAAAATCTAGAGTTTAGTGTTGTCTCTGCCCTTGACTTGCTCTGTGACCCTGGGAAAACTGAACTCCTCATCCATTTTCTCATCAAGCCAGACGCCTGTGCTGCAAGATTTAAATTAAATTATGTGTAAAGTATCTGAGATGGTTGACATCTGGCAGCTGAAAGGTACTTGCAGAATGTGGTTTCCTTCCCAGGGCAGCCCCGGGCATGCGTGCTTGTGCCAACAACTACGTACACACACACACACACACACACACACCCGTGTGTACAGGGACCATCCCCCCATCCAGCAGGGAAGGGAGGCGGTGAGAACCTAGCCAGGCCAGACCAGGAGAGGCAGATGGGGTCACGTTTATTCTCCAGGGGCTCCAGGCTCTGGCAGGACTGGGCCCGCCTTGCGGGTGGAGGGCTCATGGAGCTTGGACTCAGGCAAGGGTCCTGGGGCCTCCTGGGGTTCAGCCCCCTGAGCTTCCGCCAGCTGGGCCATGTGCTCAAAGGCAGCCTGCAGCAGGTAGGAGGCGAGGCAGGTGGTCCAGGTGACAAGATAAGCCAGGTGCCAGGAGGTGAGGGCCACGGTGCTCTCCACCCACCTGTACAGGCGCCTCAGCTCCAGCACCGCACAGTTCTCCACGAGAGCCTGGGGCAGGCAAGCAGGTGGCCCCAGGTGCACTGGCTGGCGGCTGGCCCCATCCCAGCCCTGGCCACACCCAGAAGCCCTGGCCCGCCCTCTGCAGCCCAGCCCCCTCCCCAGCCCACCCACCTGGCTGGGCAGCCAGCCCAGGCTGAAGCGGTGAGCCTTCTGGAACAGCCTCCAGGTGAGCAGCAGCAGCAGCAGGGCCGCCAGCATGAGGCTGTGCAGGCACGACAGGAACAGCTGCCCCCAGGTGTCCACGGACAGCCCCAGCCACATGCCGGCACCAAGGCGCTGCAGGGCCAGGCCCAGGGTCCGGGCACTGTCCAGCACTGCCTCACACACCAGCCTGGGTCCCCACAGCAGCAGCCACATCGGGACCCACAGCAGTGCCTGTCCTGCCCGCAGAGCCCGGACCAGGGGGCAGCTGGCAATTCCCGTGGGTGCGTGGGCCTGCGGGCTGCAGGAGCCCCGGGCCTCCTGGGCCAGTCCCGACACCCAGTGCCGGAAGAGGCTGATCTTCAGCAGAAGGAAGCTGTACAGGTGAACACGGTTCTGGACCAGCTGCAGGAGGAGGGGACACCAGTGTCACCCAGCCACACCCACCTGGGGAGCACCCAACCTGTGCTGTAGATGTGGAGCCCCCAGTCACCTTGGGCTGGGTCCTCCCATGTCCAGACATGAGGATGATCTTTGGTCTTCGGGGACTGGGGTGTGCTCGGGGGCAGAGGGCTCGCCTAGCATGTGCGAGCCCCCAGGTTTAATCCCCACCAAGTGTGGTATTATATTTGGTTCCTTCCTGCTGTGTTCAGATGATCATTTACAAGGCTCCAGAGTCAAGGGGAAGACATCATTATGATGATCATTATTGTAGCACAAAGGGTAACACTCCCCTAACAATCCTTCAGGATTTGAACCCAGGTCAGCTGTCTTTCCCCAACACCTGGACCTGCCTGGGCACCAGTGACCTCTGGGAGCCCGGGGGCAGCAGGGTAGCTAGAGTCTCAGGGACAGCAAGATGTGAGAGTCATGGGGGGCAGAACTGACGATGGGTCCAGAGAGCGGGGTGGGGGAGAGGGAGGAACCCAAGGAGATTCCCAGATTTCTGATCTGAGTGGCAGGTTGGACAAGGGTGTCCCCCATTCACTGAGGAGTGGAGTTGGCTGGGGAAAGGCTGTACCTCATCAGAGCCCGAAAGTCCCCAGCTTCTGAGTGACAGCAGTCCACCAACCTGGGTTCCCCAGACCCGGAGACCAGCAGATCCTGGCTCCTACAGGCTCTGAAGACCAGGTTGGCAGAACCACCTGAGGTCCACCGCTTAGGTCCCCTCATGGGCTGGACTAGCAGAGCCAAGGGGCGGAGCTTTGATGGGGAAGGAAGGGCGCCTAAGGTGTCCCCTGAGGAGAAGAATCAGGGTACAGGTAGGAAGTCGGGGTTCCTCCGGGCTCATGATGTGGAGGTGAGGGAGAGGAAAATGTATGAGAGCCTATACGATCAGTTCTATAGGAGAGGAAACAGAGGCTCAGAGAGGTAAAGTAATTTGCCCAAAGTCACACAGTTAAAGGGTGGAGCTGTCCCGTCTCTTTCTACTGTGTCCATTCTCTCTACATTCTGTGGCACAGAAACAGATTCAGACAGACCACTCAGTCCCCTGAGGGCTTATCATTTGGAGGTGTGGGCCCAAACACGAGTGTCTGCATATTTTTAAAAACTGGATGGTGGGGGCCAATGCTTAACCCACTAGAGTGACCCTCTACAGAGAAAATTCTGGCACTGTGGTTTGGGGATGTGGCTTCTGGAAGCTGCTAGATTATTCCCCAAGGCAGGCAGTGGCCTGGGTCCCCTGGACAGGACAGGACAGGCAGAGCTCGGTTCAGCAGCTCAGAGGTGGCCAGGAAGGTCAGGTGGGCGGTCCCCCTCCCCCCGCCCCTCTCACCAGCACTGAGAGCCTCACGACCTGCATCAGAATCCCCAAGAGGCTGGATCTGGCAGGAGGGACGGCCTCCATGTCTGGCCTCCCTTCCCTCCTCCAGCTGGGAGAGGTAGAATGACCTCACAGATGCCTCAGGGTGGGGGCCGAGTTACCATGGGGACCCAGTTGCCACCAGAGATCCCCTTTCCCCTGGCTCTTGCGCTGTCCCTGCTCCTTCTGAGTCCTGAGCCCCCACATTTGGCCTCACCAAGATCAGCGGGGAGGGCCTGGCTCCCCTGGAGCCAACTCTTGTTTGCCCAGAAGGAGACCCTGAGTTAATGTGGGAGAGGGTCCCCAAAAGGCATCCAGAGGGGAGTAAGGAGTTGAGGCAGGGGCGGGAAGGATGCTCGAGGCAGGCCTGTTAGGAGCAGGGGCTCCGTCTAGCTGGGGTCCCCGGGAGAAAGTCCAGAGCATGCTGGAGAATCACCCCACCCTTGAAGAACGAAAACTGGGGTGTTGGCCTCGGAGAGCCGTGTGCTCCCAGACCTCCACCTGCCCAGCATCAAGAGGCGTGGGCAGAAGATTGGGGTGTCACAGCTGAAGTCTCAGCTGCAGGGAAACAGGTGGGGGAGGGGCGCCTTCCACACCCTGCACATCCCAAAGTAGCAAAGTCCTAAAAAACAGAAAGCTGGCCCCAGGGCCCCAGGTGGCAGAACCTTCTCGGGCAGGCAGAGGCTCTGCTGCCCAAATCTGCAGCCCTTCCAGTTGTTAGTTTTACATTTTGCCAAAAAGCAAAGGGAAGAGATGGCGACCTTTGTCCCCTAAGTGTCGGGGGACACCTCGGTGGGTTCTGGGAATACGTGGGAGATGAAAGGAAAGTGACCACAACACTCAGAGCAACCAAAAGATCTTTATTGCAGCAGTGCAACAAAGAGAAAGGAAAGAAGGAAAGAGAGAGAGAGAGAAAAGAGAAGAGATGAACAGGGAGAGAGCAAGAGCAAGAGAGAGACAGAGAGCGCGTGTAAGAAAGATAAAGAGCAAGAGAGAGAGAGCAAGAGAGAAAGAGCAAGAGAGAGAGAGCAAGAGAGAAAGAGGGAGAGAGAAAGAGGGAGAGAGAGCAAGAGTGAAAGAGCAAGAGAGAGAGAGCAAGAGACAGAGGGAGAGAGAGAGGGAGAGAGAGGGGGGCCTAGCAGGAGGGAGTTTTTATAGCCCAAATCTAATGGGGCCTCTGGGTCTGCGAGCTGCCTTGTTGGCCCAAGGGGGGTTGAGTGCTCAGCCTTGAGCGGCACTTGACACAAACAGGTGATAAAGGACCAGATAGAGGGGGGTTTGAGTGCGTGGGCTATCTTGCAGCCAACATCTGTTCAGCCTGCCCTGCAGACAACACAGTTCAGCCTGCTCTGCACCCAACATTCCTCCCTTTTTGTTTTTCTAAGTGACACGGGGGAAGGCATAAAGTCCTCTGGCTTCTTCCTGCTTAATGGTGGGCGCGGCGTTAGACCTAGAAGGGGAAGTGGAGGAATGTTCAGGGGACAGGTCTGAGAACACCAGGGCAGCCAGAAATAACACTCAGTGGCTACAGACAACTACTGTGGAAGGGGTAAAGTCCATAAAAGTTCCTTGAAGCCACAAGTCCTCGATGGCAGCAAACCAGTCCTAGATGGAGGAGATTCTTGGTATCAGCCACTGGTCCTGTAGCAGGGACTCTAGGAAGTATTGGAGGTGGCTTGGTTGAATCCAGTAATGTTAAGGGTGACAGACCGATTGCAGCCAGTGGAAGGGCAATCGCCTTGACCCATAAACTGAGAGTGGGTGGTGTCATCCTGGTGTTATGTCGCTTGGATGTAGAAGCCAAGCCGTATCTGTGGTTTGAGATAAAAACTTGAGAGAGAATAATGATTAGTAAAAGAAGAAGAGGGTTGGTGAGAAATTTTGAGTTTGGTGGGCATGGTGGAAGTCCAGGACTGGACATTTGGAACAAGTGCCTTTTTAAGGTGGGAGACATGGTGGTACCAGGGGGAGTTTAGGTTTGATGCTTCCTTGTGGGGATACTGTAGAGCAGACAGAATAAGCAGAGTGGACGTGCTGGAGAGTAGTTCTCATTCCTAGGAAGTGAAAGAGGGGTTGTGAAAATTGGAAAAAGGGTTAGAGAGGGTTTTAGATGGGCACAGAGTCTCTGGAGCCAGAGGAGTTGGTCATGAGTCGTAGGTGTCCATCTTGGGCATCAGGGCTGGTAGTCTTAAAGAAGTAGTTGACTGACCAGCTTGTTGGTGAATTTGTGTATCTGATCTTGCATGAACTTCTGTAGGCAATTTAATAGACATGGTTCTATTAGGAGAAACATAGAGAGGACTAATAGGGGTCCTGTGAGGGGGAGGAGCCAAGGCCATACTTAACTGAACATTCCCCATGGAGCCTGTTGGCTTAGTTGCTGTCTCCTCTTTTCTAGCTGTTCTTGTCCTTCATTACTCCCAGGAATGACTGGTTTTGGCTTAACTGGTTTTGGTAGGTGTTTAAGACCAAGTTGGTCAAAATTGACTTTGTTTCTATCTATTGTTAAGAGTCAGCTGAGTTCCCATAGGGGTCGCTCGTGGGGGAACCTGAGAGCAGCTTCTTAGTTCTGCTAGTGCCATTTGCGCTAGGATGGGTCCAGGTCTTGCTTGACCATGTGGCTTCCCTTGGAAGCATCAGGGATGTCTCCTGTCTCCAATGACCCTCCTATTCACAGCAGATGCACTGATTGGCTTTTCATTCTCCAGTGGTCTCATTAATCTCCCTGATCAGGAGGTTATGTGGCCCAGAGTTGCAAAGCTCTTTAGAGAAGTTCCCTGTTCCCTGGATTCAGACTGACTCAGAGGGCCAGAGCCAAATATTGGTTTTCTTGGCCATTTTAATTTAACTTTAAGTCTTGATCATAAACATCCAGCAAAGTCAGTTTCACCCTAAATTAAGAGTGTTGGGCTTTAGCTGAAGTCTGGCCTACTTTGGAGTCATTCTGACATGTATTAAGATGGGAAGCACAGCCTTATCCCAGGTAAGGCTAAGATTTATAAATCTTAGGTAAAGTGTTCTAGTATTGAAGCTGATCTTTTTTTTTAAATATTATTTTATAAAATTTACATATATTGTTGTTTGATGTCACATGAATACTAGATAATACAGTATATTACATTTAAATTGTACCCAGTGTATAGAACTTTATATTAATCTTATTGATAACAGGTCCAGTTATAAAACATTAAATGATATAAATAAATCTCCGATATGTTATTTTTATAAGCCTAAAATAACCATGCAACCTTTTGGAGAACACCAGCTTGATATAGTTTTTTTAAAGCTTCTATCTTACTGACATATACCTGGAAAATATGAGCACATTCAATATACAAAGAAGAGTAATAGTACCACAATTACTACTGATGTTTTTATATTAATCAAGTTTAGCTTTTAAAGAAATAACATATTACAATATTGCAAAATAACAGTTGTTGTTTAACCATAGTTGTATATACAGACCTTCTTTAGCACTTACTTAAACCCTCTTATTTACTTAACAGACTCTCTTATCCAGAAACACATTTTCCTTCTATTAAATCCATACCTAGAACCTTCTAATTTCTCTTTCCTATCTGTTAACTCTTTCTTTTTTTACATTTTTAAATAATCCTTGTAAATTTCTGAACTTAGGCAAATTATTCCATTTTAATAAGAGATATTTTGTTATTTGCAGCACACAATTAATCACATCTGTTGACCATTTCATGAAAACATGAACAATGTTTAAGTATATAGAATTATACTGTTGTAGGAACAGACAAGGCAAGGCACCTAAGATAGCACTGAAGATAGTGAAACAGTTTTATTTGGTTGCAACCAGATTCAGAGGGCACTGCTTCTGTTGTAATCAATTAATCCCCTGAACCCCAAGTTTAGGTTGTTTCAGAATTTTGTACCCAACATGTAAGGGAAGGGGCTCAGAAGTTCGCAGTCTGCAGAAGTTCACAAAAAGCAGTTTTTTTTTTTTTTCCTCTGTTCTGGGCAAGTTAACCCTTCAAGGACACTTGGGAGGGGGAGAGCTTTTTCTTCCCTTTCTCTCCTCTTCCCCCCACCCTCCCCACCCCTGCCAGCTGTTATCATGGAGCCCAGTTGGTAACCTCCTTATCTTAGAAATGTAGCCTTCTCTGTGAAGCCCCAGCTCAAAGCCAGTGGCCTTGTTTTACATATTTTGTGAAAAACTAGTAAGGGGGTGTCCAACTTTTTGAGTGCTGATTTTTCTAGCCAGTGACCAAGTAAAACAGGGCAACAGGAAAATAGGAAGTTTATCTACACTAAATTTTTTTATAGGGATTCTTTTGCTGAAAAATCCTAAAATCAGCCATGGTGAAGATTTCTGGAGAAGGTCGGTTAAGCCTTTTCTGTGGGCCTGGGTAAGGAGGGGAAGACGGGAAGGTGGGGCTGAGAGCAGGTCAGTGGATCTGAGAATGAGGAAGGAGTGATGTAAAAGAATAGGATTTTCCCTAGCAAGGAAAACTTGAGCAGTAGAACAGGTAGAGCAGAGGGGAGGATGGGAGTGAGTATCCCAAAAAAGCCTGTAAGGGACAATTCTTAGTAACCTGTTTTCAGTGATGACAAAGCAACTTTAAAGGCCATTTTCACCAGATCTCTGATAGGGGTCCAAGGGCTCTCCTCAGCTGGTTTGAGCTTTGGGTTAGCTGGTAAGAGGACCTGGTGGGACCTGGTGTGGGCACTGACAGGAGAAGAGAGGAGTGAGTGGGTAGAGGGATTCCTTCAGTACTTGCTACCTCAGAAAAGAGGCAATGGTTTGAGGAAAGACGGTTGTTTAGGTTTTTGATCTAGTGAGTGGAGAGGAGAAGTCAGGTTGTTCAGGTGGGGGAGACAGTAGAGGGGCTGGGGCAGAAGGTTGAGGGTGAGGACCTATTTGAGCCGGGCGATAGGGTGGAAATTCATCAGTAGGGTCAAAAGTAGTGGATGAGTCCGGAGGAGGAGGAGATTGGGGATCAGTGGTTGTGGGTGTTGGTTTGCAAGCTAGAAGAATTTGCAGAGGTCTGCAAGAGGTGCAGAGAGCACAAGCAAGA